AGTCATCCTGTAATCCTTCCCCTAAAAATATCATAGGAAATGATAGTGGTTAAAATGCAAATAAACCAAGAAGGAAAGATTGAGAGTGTTTTATTTGGTTACTCCATGACAATACCAGGGCACAGATGGAAGTATTATTTAGTAGAAGACTACGTGCTGTGAATTTCCCCAGTTGTCACACTTTCAGAAACACCTGGGCAAAATAGCCTTCTATATCAGACTGAGCCTTTTTTTCCCTAAAAATATTCAATGTGTTTCTTTCTGTTTGCTTATATATATATTTATTATATATGTATATATTAAAAATCCTATAATATAGTGCACTGATTAAATATCATCCATCCATGTATCTGATCATGGAATACTGTCTATACATTAATTAAGCTCTTCAGCCTTACCTTGGAAAGTAGTAGGTTTCCCTTTTCTCTTTTGCTTTTTGTGTATTAGGTTGACCCATAAGAAATTAGTGATATTCAACTTAATAGAAAATCTGGAGTCTTAGAGATTTACTCAGAGATACCATGGTGTGTGTGTATGAAGGAGCAGGTTATTACTTACCTGATTGCATCATTGATAATCAGTTCTTAAAAAAGAAAATGGAGGTACTGAAGACATGCCTTCTGTGATTTTTCCCCTTTATGCAGACTTGTCTCTGGATGAGCACCTTCTTGGGCAGATGCAGGATTGCACTAAGCTTTATAGCTCCAGCACTTTGCCCCTTCAGTAGATTCTTGCTTCTAACTGGTGATAATGCAACTCTGCCTTATCTATAGATCTCCTTAAAGGGCGACCAAAGGTGCAGTGGCTCTTCAGGCTCAATTGCTGAGTGTGAGAATCCTCCGTCCTGTCTCCTTTTGAGACCACAGTCTGTGCAAGGATAGTTATATATTTCTCCACATACATTTTGTAACAAGTATATTTTTCAGATTTTTATTTAGTGTGACAATTCAGCAGGTCAAGTTCTCCAAAAGGCAGATCCTGAGAAAGCAATTAATGTGCAGGAATTTTTTTCTGGAGAGTGCTCTCAGGATAATACCTGTGAGAGAGGAAGGGGAAGGAAGCACAGCAGGGCCGAAGGAGAAGCTGGGCTTTAATTCAGTTGCAGCCACAACATCAGTCAACCCTCCTCCTCTCCGCTCCCTTCCCGAATTGTCCTGAGTTGGAGCAAGGGGACCAATAACAGCTCACACATTAACCAGTCACTGGATGCAACCTGGCTCCAGCAGCTTTCCTAGAAGCTGAAGCAAAACATACTTCAGTCCTGAAGAGGGGTCTGGGCAGCCCGGCACAGCATCCACTGCACCAGTAGTTCTCAAAGTTTGGTCTCTAGCGTCAGTGATTCTCAAACTTTAGCATATATCAGAATCACCTGGAAGGCTTGTTGATCTACAGCTTGCTGGCCTTCACACACACAATTTCTGATTCAGTAGGTCTAGGGCAGGGCTTGAGAATTTGCATTTCTAGTAAGTTCTCAGTTGCTGCTGATGCTGCTGGGCTGCCGAACAGACTTTGGGACCCACCCTGCCTGTATTTACATATGGAGGGAGGTTGGTGTATGGTGCCCTTATGAATAGAAGTAAGACCTTTTGAAGTCACTGTCCCATTCCACACTCCATCAAATTCTCAGCTATTTTTGTGCATTATAAAGCTGGAATTGCTGATAATTAAAATTTGTTATATAAAAAGTACTTAACCAATGCAGTAGATTATATTTGTAAAGCATTGTTACTATTTTATGATATCTGGTCATTCTTACTTTTAAAGTTCAGCCAAATTTTCTCCAGGGTCTATAATTTGATAATCTGGATAGGGGGATTTTTAAAAAAATAATCTATGTTCAAGATCTTTTTTTTTTTTTAATAGACTTATTTATTTATTTTTTATGCTGTGTTGGGTCTTCGTTGCTGGGCGCGGGCTTTCTCTACTTGCAGCGAGGTGGGGCTACTCTTCGTTGCGGTGCACGGGCTTTTCGTGGCGGTGGCTTCTCTTGTTGCGGAGCACAGGCTCTAGGCCTGCAGGCTTCAGTAGTTGTGGCATGTGGGCTTCAGTAGTTGTGGCTCGCGGGCTCTAGAGCGCAGGCTCAGTAGCTGTGGTGCACGGGCTTAGTTGCTCCGCGGTATGTGGGATCTTCCCAGACCAGGGCTTGAACCCGTGTCCCCTGCATTGGCAGGCGGATTCTTAACCACTGCGCAACCAGGGAAGCCCGATGTTCAAGATCTTTAGTTTTGTTCTAGGCCAATTTTTTTTTTTTGTTTCTTTATGATTCTTATTATTTCTACATTTTTATTTTATCATATAAGCCATTTAAAGCCATACGGTAACAGAAAATTTTAAAGTATGGCATATAGTCAGAGCTATGTGGAATGCACAAATATGGCATACAAGTACCCTTGACTCATTTCTAGTCTAGACTTGGCACAATTAAAGTTTAAGAATTCATTGTACATAGATTGATCTCAGGAGAAAGGATGCAGCCTTAAGTCTCCCACACAAGCAGGAAGTAACAGTCTCACCTCTGATCAAAGAGATTTTTCTGCTATTGCTGCCATTGAATTTTTTTTAATGTATTTCCAAACTAGAAAATATTCAGCCTGATGTTGTCAGTATTTCAGACCACGAGGGTATCGTTTAGGAAAACAGTGCCTTAGGGTCCTGAAAGAGTTACTGCTCTTCCCTAAGGGCCTAATTTACAAAGCAGCAAACTCAGTGGTAGGATTTGGCTGGAAATCTCATTGTCTCAGTAGAACCCTTTCATCTAGATTTATGTGCATCACATTTTAGAAAGTTATTTACTAGTTACTTTCTCTGGAAGCAGAGGTAAGTGGTGTTTCTCTTTAAGGACAGAGGAGCTAAGATGCATCAGGTGCAGCTCATCATGATGATGACGCTGATAATAAAATGCGCAGTATCTAATTCTCCAAGCTTCACTCTGCCATGAGGGAGTTTCACACTGCTCTTTTATTTTGTGTGAATTTGGAGTATGTTAGACTATATATCAGTGTCTAACCCTGCATTTGTCTTCTGCAATGTGACAGCTTATTTCTATGCCAGATTTGGAGCTGGTGGTGGAGTAAATCTCAGTGATTTGCAATGCATGAGCCAACCTAAAATATTAGGTTGAACCGGATGAAATTGCCCCTTTTGTAGGTCAGAAATGGTCAAACATGAGCAATTACACATGCTTCAACCTGTACATTTGTGCGTTTCATGACAGATTATAACATTAAGATTCTCAGTGTTGTTGCAATGGTTCTGAATTTTTAAATCATATTAAATAAAAAGATAAATAAATAAGCAAATAACGATATTTTGATATTTCTCCCTGCATTGATAATTTGCCTGGAAAGTAAATAAGCAGGGAGCCAGCAGTTCAGGTTAGCCCTTGAACTCCACGAGGTTTAACTGATTTGCCCAACCAGAACACAAAGCTACCTTTCAGCTGTGCAGTATTCAAGTTTATTTAGGAGTTGATAAATAGCTTGGTGCAATTTTTGCCAATAGCTGCATCCTCATAAACCTATTCTACCCTCCACCAGTTAATGCAGACAGAAGACTTTTATCCAGTTTGAGCACCGAAACTACACTCAGCATACACTGTATGCTCAGCAAAAACCTCACCCGTGATGAATAAACAGCTCTTCCGGGGGCTTTGCTGCCGCTGGCGTGGCAGGAGTTGTTTATTGCCTGGTTTGCACATCCCATGATAAAGTTGCTGCTGAAATAAATTGCAGTTTTGCATAGTTATTGACAATCACATCTTAACAAGCAGTGTGTATCATATTCAAGTGTTCAGTTTTTTTTAAATCCATTTTTAGCTTATGTTTAATCCCAGAAAGTGTTTGTGTAATAATAGAAGGCAAATATGGCATGTAAACAGAGTACTAATTTCCTCACTGCAAGACAAAATTTACCTGAATCTTTCTTAGATGGGACTGTTATTGACTCAGGCAATTTTCCTTCCCAAGCTATTATTATGTAGATGTTTGCTGAGGGCATATGTGTGTGTATCCACAATACATGCATTATATATATTGTCAGAAAATATGAATAACTTTTCTGTAGACTTTTGTGTCATTAGGGAATTTGGTTCATTCCGTCTAAAAGATTAGAGAAATGAGAATGGGATGTGGGCAGAGGGAACTAACATTTTTGAGCAGCTATAATATGTGACCACATAATGTGTGAGGCACTCAGCTTCACACACATTGTTGTATTTTCGCTCTCATCACAGCAATATGTATTGCAGATGAGAAATCAGAGAGGTTAAGTAACTTGCCATATCACACACTTGGTAGAGGATATTGGGATTTGGGCCCAGATCTGTCTGGATTTTAGGCTCCACTTTTTCCATTACGCATAAAATTTTTCTTTTGGAAAATATTCTCAGTTGTATGACCATCAGGTAATGAAAATTAAAGCTAACACAATTAGAACATGATAGTGTTATGCAAAATTACATTTTGTACAGTGGTTTCTATGAAACACATGGTTTTCCTACTTCTTAGTCTTTTTGTTCTCTTTTCTTCTTCAGTCCCCTTCTCTTTCTTCCTCCAGTGTTCAACTTTCTGTTCTAGGTTTGCATTTCTCCTGGCCTATCTAATCATGATCTCCTGCCTCAGGTGACATCAAAGATAAGCATGGTATAGATTTTAGGGTTTTACCTATAAAGATTAGCTTAAACTTTTGCAGCATATTAAAATAAGCTTTCAAAATTGACCAGCAGAAACTAAAAAGTTAAAAACAAATTTTTTGGGGAAAATTCACACGTGAACTTTCAAAAGTCTAAAAGTCCAAATACACACACACACACACACACACACACACACACACACACGCTATTCTAGTGGTTGATGCTTTGAAGAGGAGTTTTAGCAACAACTCACCCCTTTGTTCGTACATTACAATTTAGTCCCTTGGACTTTGCTCTTTTCGTGGGATTCACTGGGTGCGCCTTTCTGATGTTTGAGGAGAATTGCATCTGGACACTTGTTCTTTTGCAGAGTGAGTGAGCGAGAGACTGCTTTGGAAGAAACTCATAGATTACTGCAACAGTTCCCGCTGGACCTGGAGAAGTTTCTTGCCTGGCTTACGGAAGCCGAAACAACTGCCAACGTCCTGCAGGATGCCACCCATAAGGAAAGGCTCCTGGAAGACTCCAAGGGAGTAAGAGAGCTGATGAAACAATGGCAAGTAAGTCAAGCATTTCTACTTTATCCCTCTTGTGAATCCAGTCGAAGAACTCTCAGCATTTGTCCTTGTAATTGATATGCTGTGGACGAAATAAAATAGTTGTTTTACATGGCCTTACGTATTTAAGCGTTTGGGCTAGAAGAAGAGAGACAGAGGAAAAAGGAAAAATCATTTATTATTTCATTTACTACCCCAGTCTTCTAAATAGTTGTGTTTTTGACCAGGAAAAACTTGCCCATAAAGCTAGAGCTTTGATAAGAAGAAACTTTGCTCAGAGAAATAAATTAGGGATTGGCTTATTAAATTTGAAAAAGTTGCCATTTTTGAGTGTTTATTTAATATTTTACATGGAAAGCATCTGTATGAATTGTCTGTCTTATTTAGCGTTGCTGACTGAATCAGTTTCCCTCCATTACTTTCCAGTAAGTTTTGAAATGTTAATCTGGCATTTTGTAGCTTTCTTCCTAACACGATCTGTGAAAATAGAAGTGAGATGGCTAAATCTGTCATAGTTAATGATCACACAATTTTCGGCAATTGTTTTTCCTAGAAACCAGAATTATTGCTCTAAAATTTCGTATGCATAAACAGTGAAAACAGAAGTTTCAGGTAGTTTTGTTTATATGAAGTCTTAGTGGGAATCTTATTCTGTAGTTCAGGAAGGCTCCTGATGCCTGCTTTCAGGACCTGACATAATTTTCCTGACCTACAATGGAGTTTTGTTATGTATAGTTGAGTTTTCTGACTTGATAGAAGAAGTTTACTAGTACCGCCAGGAAAATTTGGAGTGTTAGAATAATAGGATCCATTTTTAGGGCTAACTTCAGTTTTTTAATATTTTAAAATTATGATGAAAAACGGGAGAGTATATCCTAGGTTGAAAAATAATTCCAAAATCAAATCACATTAAGCAAAGTCTCATCTCCACCCCTCCTTGTTGTTCTCCTTCTTGGCTTCTGTTTCGAAAGGACATTTGATCTACTCGGGTGCTCTCGTTTGTAGAGTAGATGTCAGTGGCAATTTAGAGCTTCTCGGATTCCTCATTCTTGCTTTATCATTATCCTCGGACCCCGCTTGCTCCCCCACAATGTGTGTTGAGTTAGTTTGATCATTTGGAGGTAGTTTGTTTAGAACAATGCCTGTCTTTATCTTCCCAGATATCTCCCATGGCCTGTGAATGTAAATGCAGTGTAAAGTTCATTTTTTGGTCACGTTTTTTGGTTCTAAGCAGGTAGTAAATGTGCTGCTGTAGCATATTTGATTTATGATGTTTCATAAGTAAAATTTTATTTCTCCTTGTCCATGCCCATAAAGCCACCCTAGAATTTTAAATATGTGGATTCACATACTCCCCTCAGCTGTGGTAAATAAAGAGTAAAACGTTAAGTGGATTTTTTTAAGCAGATTCCTTTTAAAAATAAATCCAGTGACTCAATTTTATAATAGGGACTTAATAAAATATGTCTTAAATTGATGGATGTCTTGTTGAGGGCAAAACAAGGATACATCCATCTATCTCCTATACTTTTTATATTTATATCTGTAGTACTTATACAGTGAAAATTCAGATAAAAACTTCTCATCCTGAGAAACTGCAAGATTCCTGAATCATTAAAGAAAAAAACTGCAGTATCGCCTAACTATGTTTACTGTGGAAGAATGGAGAATAAAGTACATTTTGTGTTTACATTTCTGATCTCTTTCAAAAATAGTTGGAAATTATGCCGAGGAAACTTTCTTAGCTTATTCTATATTACTCATAAAAATGTATTTACTCTTAAAAGCCATATAAAACTCCCTCAGAGTTCCTGAAAACCTTAGACATATCATTTTCCCCTTAACCATAGTAGGACTAACTAAGATTCCAGTGTTATTTGAAAAGAGACAATTTCTCATTCCCTCTCAGTTAATATTGTGTCTTCTATAAATTCCAGTTGCCTGAGGTTGAAACTACATTTTATGCATAGGAATGACATTCATAGCCAGCTCTGATTTTCAGTTAGATGGCTGAATAATGAATGGTCTTCTGATGAAAGATTCAAAGATGTCATGGTAAAAACTCTAAACTACTGGAACTATTGATTATTGTTAATGTCACATTTCAGCTGACAGAATTGAATCAAGATACTGGGGTTTAAAAGCAACAAATGGAAATGCCAAGCTTGAAAGTAAATAAAACCACATACCTTAGGAGATTGCATGCAGTTTCAGTATTTCAGCTAAATCGAAGTGTTTGCTTTTTTTCCCCTCCAAAGATGACTTTTTTAAAAGTTTGAACAAAAGGAATGCTCTGTAATATGTGTGAGGGAATACAGTGTAACTGTGTGCCTTTCACTTCGTTTGCAGAAGCTGGTAGCATTATATTCATTGTTTGATTCATGCTGTATAGCAAGAATAGTTCTTACATATTAAAAAAGGAAACTCCAAATGCCTAGCCAGAGCAGCGGCTCTCCCAACAGATTTCAAGATATCTGTCCACCCAAAAGCAGTGATGTTTTACTTTATACAGATGCTGCTGAATGGAGACAGGGGGGTCAGAAAATGGGTTTTTCTCTGTGACTGTCAGTCGGTTTTTCTATATATGGAGACTCCAGCTCTTACCAGGCTACCTGACTATCACTGCTTATCATCCACTTCATAGGATGTTTAATTCTCCCAGCAATAATTACAATTCCTGGGTTTGATAAGCATACATGTATTGTGAAGTATATGCTTCCTGAATGGAATTAACCTGATTAGTTCCACTCTGAAAGCCATTAAAGTTTCTTCCTTATATTAGAAAAAAAATGTCATTTACTTTCCTTACTAAAAGCAAAGTCATTATAGTTGGCCTTGTGCTTTAGGCTGAGGAGATTTTTTTTCTTATAAGTATTGTTATTTCTGACAGTATAGCTGGAATCTTAAAGCCAATATATTTTTATAGAGTACCATATAGAGCCCTACGAGGTGACAGTTTGAAAATTTTTAAATTGAAAATTTATTCTTAAAATGAAGAGTTGTATTCATAATTGAATCAGATTCTTCCTGTGTCCAAAACATTTCCTGCTTTGGGCCTTAGAGAACTGATAAAGATGGTCGCAGTTCTACGTTCTAACATAAAATCGTGGGTAACTAACCGAACATAGTTAGTTAAACGTGCAGACTCTGCATGTTTACTGATGTTTCACAAGAATTTCACCAATCTTAACTGCTTCTCTAAGCACCCCCAAGAGATAATTGTAATACCAGCTTGTAAAGAAGGTGTGTGGGGATGGGTATGTGGTGGGGAGAGATGGTCATAAAGGTGGCATAATCAGGGTCTTTTTCTCAGCAAGAGAGACTATGGAGCAATTAATATTTGAGATTCCCTCATCTGTGATCTGGGTCATGTCTTAGGCCATATCTCTCAACTCACTCCCTCCTCTAATTTCATTTGTTTTACCTGTGTCTCCTCCCACCCTCCCCCACCCATTATAGAAATGCTCTTCTGTTAAACAAAACACTTCCAGAGAGACAAGGTTGATACATTTTGAATTGTACATCAGAGTACACCTGGAAATTGATTAAGCTACCTTAAATGTCTAGTATGTTATTGAAATTGGGGAATTTACCTTCTTCAGTGTTGCTCACATGTATCCTGGCCCAGTGACTCATTCCAGAGGAAGAAGGAAGAATGCAGCCTCAGTAGCAAAATCAGTATCCTGAATAAATTGGATTGTCCTGTTTCTAGGTGCATCTGAAAAGAGAGAGGTAATCTGAAGATCCCTAATTCTAAGAAAAGAAAACCCTCTGTGTATGCCTTTTTGTTGCTATAATTTGAATTGAGTCTTATATGTGGTTTTTAATCTTTCTCCTTTGGTGTCTAAAGATTATGAAAGTTTACCTTGCTGTTTTCCTTTTGCCTAGTGATGTCTGCCTGCCCTTTTTGGTATACAAAACCTATATATGGATATATGTTCCCTAAGAACTTTGATTGATTCATCAAATCTTTATCAAATACCTGTTGGATGCCTAGCATGGTGTTAGGACTAGCATTACGAACATGATTAGAGAGATGTTTTTCAAACGTAGTTCAAAGTACTAGGTTACGTAATCAGTTTAACGAGTATCAGTCCACATTTTTTTAAACAGAAAGGAATAAAATTAATAGAATAGAAAATAGCAAGAGTCCACCACTCTTAGATAAGAGTCGGTATTATTTTCTGAAGCTTTGGTTTCAACTCTTTGCATATATGTGTGTGTGTCTGTGTGTACATACTGGATCAGTGTGTAGCATATATTCAGAATCCTCTGCGTTAGAGTATGATTTCTGCCCTTGGGATGCTTATATTCTGGAGGCGAAGATAGTTATGCCAAAGACAAAATTGTATGGCAGTGTGATGAGTGTTACAGTAGAGGGCTAGACAGGATCTAGTGAAAACAGAAGATGATTAAGGTAAGCTTGCCAGAGAGGCCAGGAAACTCACCTAGAACACTGTCTTTCAGTCTTGCTTATGCATTGGAGATCTTTTAAATGCTGGTCTCTGGGTTCTACCCCCAGAGGTTCAAACTGGATTGATCACAGCATGTCCTGTCCACGCTTCTCATGTCCGGCCAAGGTTGAGAACTTCTGTTCAGAGAAAGTTAGAAGAATGTGTTAGGAGTTGGCTAGATACAGAGAGTTAAAACGGGAAGGAAACAGCATGTTGAAAGTCCTGGACAGTTGGGTAGTTCAGGAATCGAAAGGTACTTCTCTATGGGTGGGGTATGATTATTATAAGAAATGAGTTTGGAAAGATCAGCTGGGGCTAAATTATGTAGAAAGGCAGCATGGTATAGTAGATAGAGTATAAGCCTTGTAAGCAGGAAGACCGCTTATTTTACCTATTTTACCACTTGTTGCCTAACCTCTAAGTCTCAGTTATATTCTTCTGAACAATGAAAATAATACCTCACAGGGTTTTGTGAGGAATAAATGATAGAATACATGTAGCATGCCCACCAGAGGGGCAGAGTGTTGCACTCAAAGTGTTCGGTGTGTG